TTTTTTTTTTTTTTTTTTTTTTTTTGGCAAAAGTTGCCCGTGAACTTATGTATGTGAAATTTATCTTGGGAAGGCACGACATTACACTCGAAACACGATGTGTCCATGGCAACCGTATTTTGCTGGCAGAAATGTTTTTCAGATTTGAAATTTCTTTTAGTTATACTATACATGTACAAAATTTAAATGAAAATTTAGATTTAGCTGATTGTTTATTATAATAATTGTTTTATTGAATCTAATTATTTGTGAGTCGTTCCGATGTTTTGCAAAAATTGAGAAATCCATGGCGACTGTTTGGTTATTATGACGTATTTCCCAGCACGTGGTTCATTGTAGAAACTCGAAAACTACCCGATCTGAAAAGGGTTCAAAGGTAATAAATAGACCGTGGATGGATGTGAAGTAGCGTTTTGCAAAATGAACAATTACTACAGATCGACAAGTAATCGATAATAAATCAATACTCTTGCATGTGGATGGTATGGTAACAAGTTTTTCAGGATAGTAAATCGACTGCTAATAGATAGAGTTGACATTTAAATTTGTAGAACTGTATATGTTTAAAGCAAGTCCCATGTCTACCTAAACAACAACCATTAATGCGTTCTAGATCAGTTCGAGAGACCTTCTTACACAGGTTTTGCATAAAACTTCACGAGATAAATAATTAAAGAATTATTAAACCCCTTCATTTGATCCCTACAGATTTATATGAAATAAGTCGTTAAACAATCCAGAATGGGTAAACGTGGCCTTATAGCTTCTTAATCTATGAACCCTATTCATGAATGCCTGCCAATTTAAAAATCCTTTTGTATGCATTTAAATTAGCCCAACTAACCTCGTTTGAGAGGAAAATTCTTTTGAATTATCAGCTTAGTTGGGCTAATTTTAATACTTTAAAATAATTTTTAATTGGCATCCATTTATGAATAGGGTCTTTAGAACTTTTTCTCGCATCATACATGCAAAAAGAGTGTTTACATAAGAAAAGCGTTTAACTCCCACAGGATTGGTTTGGTACACCAAAATGGCCGCTGTTTCAATGTTTCAGAACGCCAATATGGCTGCCGTGACGTCATGTGAAAATGCTCTATAAATTTATCTGTTATCTTTTCAGGCGCACTTATTTTTTCCCACATCATGTGTCACGCAAAAGCTTCTTACTATCTTCTTTGATCCAGGCTGGTAATTCGATTATTTATTAATAAGACTACCGTTACTGTCACAGTGAGTTGTAGTGACACTAGAGATGTGAATATTGAATTGAAGTTGGTGCACGATGTAGTTAGGTTACTAAAATATCGTTTTTACTGGAACAGGTCTAAGAATACTACCAAAGGTCCACTGCTGCCTCAATGGAGAACCAAAATTTCTCCGATATCGA